TAGATGCATGAGATTGAAGGAATAAAACGAATAATAATGGCACAATCGAGCATTGGCTGTGTGTTGACTGATGCGGTCATACCTTGGATTTATCCATCTTGAAAACTCGGTCGTCTCACAACCGTGGAGAGGTGTAGCTACCTAGAAAGGCATGGGGACATGTTCCTAGTCCGTAAATTTAAGGGCATGCTATCCGAAAAGCAAGCCTGTGCCCTCGGCGGAGAAGATTGAAGTTGGCGCAACGTCAATTAATGAAAGTGCATATCGCAAGTTGAGAAATGGCTGCAGGTCAAGGCGACGTGCGCTGACTAAGACGCCCAAAGTGTGATTGAGGGCAACTTTATAGGTAGGTAGCCAAGTGCACGCAAGAGTTTAGAACGTGGGAGCCGATGAATGTGTTATTGTGCATTAATTAGATGGAATTTATTCTCATAATCTTTTAAACATCTGAGGATGGGTATATGACAAATATAAGGAAACATGCTGGAAACACTTTCAACTTCCGTCGGTATGGGTATGGAGTTGTTCGTCCAGGTTGATCCATACAGGCCAGGTCTCTCGCCTGATCAACCAAGGCTCCTTAGCTGATCCTCTAGCTCGTAACAGCACTGCATCCCGCAATTGGGTGCCTTCATTTCCACGTCTCCCGCTTGATCGATGATCAAGACTAATTTCAGTTGCAAATATGATGCAACCGTGGCTCTCAGTAAAAGTCAAACGCCCACCAAGACTCTCATTGTCCGAAAGGGCGCGTTCTTGGTTCCAGTATAAATGTGACTTGACATGTTCGAATATCTATGCCTCCAGCAATGATCCCAAGCCCCAGAGAAGGGCACATCCGGCCAGAGCAGTCGCGCCAACCACCTTCTTAGTCCACCAATTTTCATCCGTGAGCGCCTTGGTCTTCTGGGCCTTCTTTGGTGCTTCAGTCGGTATGCTAGCGGGAGCGCTGGCGTGCTCTTTTTGAGATGCATTCTCTTCAGCCTCCCTCTTTCGTAGCACGGCAATCTTCTTGCTGAGCTCAAGCATGTCCTCTTCAAGAGTCAAGTTCTTGGTGCGGTCAACCTCCACATTCTGGACGTTGCCGAAGAAGTCGGTAATCAGGCGACTACGAGCGGCGTCGGAACCGCCGGGGAAGAGGTCATAGCGAACACCTGGGTTGGAGTGGATCTTCTCGTAGTCGTAGCTATCAAACAAGTCGCCGACGGTCTTGGCGCTGCTCAGGTCCTTGACCTGGGTCTCGAGATATTCCAAATTGTAGTATGTGTAACGATCGATGACAGCAACGCCGACGTCATTGTCAGCGTGGTGTGAGTAGGACGACTGGTCGAGCTCGGAGGAACCTGTGGCAATGATGTTGGGAGAGTATAGCCTGCTGTACATGGTATTTGCCTGACAGGTGTCGATCATGAATAAGATCTCGTGGTATCTAGCAAGGGTTAGCACGTGTGTCAGGAGGGAGGGGCACCTCTACTGACCTCTTCTTCTCCCACATCTGCTCAAAGGCATCCGCAAGATCAAATGCACCGATCTCCTCAGCGTCCTGAAACTTGAGGAATTCGTTTCCGCCATGGCCAGTCATGTACACCAATATATTACTCCGGTCGTCGGTAAGGAGTCGCTTACTCCTGGGCATCTCGGCGCCAACGCGGTCGGTCAACAGGCGAATGAAGTTCTCAACAGTGACCTCGTAGCCACGATAATCGACCTCGATGTTGTCGCCGTACAGGTCGACGGCGCGATCGGAGTTGCTGTAGACGGTGCCGGGGAAAGCGTTGCGCGGGTTGCAAGCCATGTCGTCGGGGAGCATGAGGATGATCTGGGAGTCGGGGATGCCGAGTCGCTTGACGGTGCGGTACATGGAAAGGACATTGGCGAGATGGCGATAGTTGAACCAGAAGCGCGAGGTGCATACAAGGACAGCCCAGTTGCTGGTATGCTCGGCAACAGCGACGGTTGCGAACAGGGCCGCCGCCACGAGCGCGTGGAAACGAAGGACGGAGAGGTTCATGGTGGATGACGCAGGGAGGAAACGAGATGAAGCAGAAGTTCCAGGTGGGAACACAAGTTATAGCCCTGAGGCCACGGGCAACATGTCCTGTTGCGACCGTTGCGACAAGATGCTAAGGTGAGTCCCAGGAAGGGCTTACAAATTGGTATAACGGCGATGATGGAGCATGGGGAATGCAGCAAGCGTCACTGACTGAGCCACGGTAATGGACGCGCTAGATTAGCAACACATGGTCCGGAGTTGTCGGAGTCGGGCGCCCGAACGAACCCCTGGCGCTAATGGCCCCAGCACTCACCGTTGAGCGTGGTGTCACGTGATGCCATACAATGCAGACATGACCAGCTGGAGAGGAAACCCAACGACGCCTGGGTACTTTAAGAACTTTGGTTGCGTAACATAAAAGGCTTTTCAGAACCAATCTTTCTGTCCTTCTTGGTAGTACCCGTTAGTAAGAGCTCATCTTCCTCTCCGACCACCTAGGCTACAGGCTCTTCTTCCACCACTTCGTCATACTGCCACCACTCCACACCGTCCCTATCAATAAATATAAGCTCTCCAATCCGTTCCCAATCAGCATTGAGAGCTTCGGCTTCGACATATCGGGCCACACAACATTCCTGGCAGAAAACGAGGGTCATTGGGTTGCCAAAGCGACAAAACCACCTCAGGGTTCGATCGAGTGGCTGGTTGCAACGCCAGTTGACGTGGTCCGCCCGAATAACCGTGGTCGGCTCAACCATGTTGCGTTAAATTTGTTTGATTTGTAAACACAAAAGATGTTGAGTCGAGTTGATCTCGAAAATCTGGAACTTGCTGGATCTCGTTATTGTTAATGTGGAGGCCGGTTGTCAAATAAATAGTCCAGAGCGCAGCATTGGAACACTTTATATGTCAGGCTGGAACTGATTCACGAAGATAACATCATATCATGTGAGTGCCGAAGGAAAACTCACAGTTCTTCTACATATGTTGCCGATTTTTTATTGGTCACAATGACTGGTAACCCTTGTGGGGATTAGATCACCAGCTCAGGAGGATAACGTGGCCACGGCACGACACGCCTTCCCAAGGGAACTGACCTCTTTAGTCCTCTGTATTTACACAACTGTGTTCTTTTGAATATGACGCGACTTGCTTGCAAATCACAAAGGGGGCCATTGTGTCGCAAATCGTATCACCTTACCCTACAGCGTAAGTTACAAATGCGACCACTGAGGACTCCTAGGGTGAAGTTGCTTTTGTCACATTCAAGTTTAACGGTTCATCACTGGTGATAATTAAATCGCTGTAGTAATCACCACTATCTGGGAGCAATCGTGGGAAACGGCTACATGTGCCGCTTCGTCACTTGGTGGTAGGCCTCTAGCACCATCAAGGAGTCGCACGACTGACATGATGAACACCAGACAGAGTATTGGGGAGGCAAGAAGTAGTTCAAACCTACTCACAGTCAAAGATATTTAGACCGAAACTGGAACCACAAGGTCGGATGGTAGTTAAACCGCCGAAGACATAAGAACCACAAACCTGTCCATTTCTCAGTCAAGTTTGTGTCAAGACAGGAGCTGGAGGAACATGAGCAAATAAAAGAAGTATTCCAATTTCATCCTTTTATGTTTCAATCGAATCGCTCTAAGACCTTGGACAGTGAAGGTGCGATTTCAAAACATATAGAGAAGTATTCGAGGTTGGAGGACTGCAGTCTCTGACAAGAATACCGGCATGTAAAGTTCTCGACTTACCTGTGCACAGACACGAGCGTGCTTTGGGTTGACACAATTACCAAGAGGAAGCTTCAACCACCCGTGGGTCCAAAAAGCATAGCCGTAGAGAACCAATAACTACGCTCTCTTTTAAACATTTCCAATAATTATGATGGCATTAAATAGACGATACAGGGGAGACAAGCGACGATCATGTGTTGAGGTCACTTAGACGGGCACTTACCCTGTAGCGACCGAAGTCACATGACAAACCCCGCCAACAAACCCCGCCGCATCATAATCTCCACCCCAACTGAGCAACAACCATGCCCACAATATAGACCACAAATTCGAGCCATTTAATCATCGGAACAACACGGTCGCGTGGCCCAATGGGTAAGAATCACCATCCAACTAGCAGAGTTTAACTCAATAACTAACAATCAATGTAGCAAGGCGTCTGACTACGAATCAGGAGATCGTGGGTTCGAGCCCCACCGTGACCTTCTCTTTTTGCCTATTCCGGCGCATACTTGACTCTGGCAATATGGACTGCAAAATCGAGCCAACTCGCCATCAGAACATCACGGTCGCGTGGCCCAATGGGTAAGCAATTTCACTCTTTAACAGTACAGCACAATAACTAACAATTAATTCAGCAAGGCGTCTGACTACGAATCAGGAGATCGTGGGTTCGAGCCCCACCGTGACCTCTCTTTTTGCTCTATCCAGAGTTTGTGGGATCCCCACTGTGGTGTCTCTTTTTTCTTCAACCCACATGGCGGTCTCACAACATAACATGAAAACTCGACGCCGTCGTCCAACCAATGACATGGTCGCGTGGCCCAATGGGTATGTAACGTCTTCGACTACCTACCATCAAACATCAACTAACAACTACTTCAGCAAGGCGTCTGACTACGAATCAGGAGATTGTGGGTTCGATCCCCACCGTGACCTCTCTTTTTGCTTCATCAAGATGTTGTGGGATATCCACTATGATGTCTCTTTTTTCTCCATTTCGGTTGCCCTGTCGCTTCACAACATAGAATGAATTTTCGACGCCATCGTCCAACCAATGACAGGTCGCGTGGCCCAATGGGTAAGCAACTTCCTCATCACCTCCCATCAAACCCTCAACTAACAACCACTTCAGCAAGGCGTCTGACTACGAATCAGGAGATTGTGGGTTCGATCCCCACCGTGACCTCTTATTTTTGCCATTCCTTACAAGAGGGACTGCTGACGATGTAAGTTGACTTGTCGAGGCCGTCGTCCATCACCAAGGTCGCGTGGCCCAATGGGTAAGCAACTTCACCATTAATGATTTCAACGCAGTAACTAACAATCACTACAGCAAGGCGTCTGACTACGAATCAGGAGATTGTGGGTTCGATCCCCACCGTGACCTACTCATTCTTTTTGCCCCTTGACACATACTTTTATGCCGGTTGATAATTGATGTGGAGGAGAACTGGGGCTGAATGGTAGGACGGATGACGTAGTCGTGTAGAGTTGTTAGTGACTACAATGAGTTGTAGCCAATGAATGCCTATGGCGTAGTTGACGGATTGTACATGTTGTAGGCCTGTGTACGTTACCCATAATACGGACAAAATTGTAGTAATTAGAGTATGAAGCATAATTACCACGGCGCCTCTCATTTCTGGTGGTGCAGAACTGGCCATTCCTGGGGCTCTTTGGCGGCGGCGGCTAGCGCTGATGGTGGACGAAGAAAATTTCCCAACGGTTCACTAAAGAACCTCACCTTTGCCATCACGACAGAACCGCAATAGCGTCGGCCAACAGCGGCCAACAGCAATTACAACAGCTTGGCCGCGCACTCGCGCACTCGTGCACCATTGCGAAAGCCGCTTGTCTCACTCTAGCCGCGCCGCCCTGGCACGATCCCAGTCTATTACTCGCCGTCATCGTCATCGCTGCTGGGCCCCTCGCCGAATCAGACTATCGCTACCCCCAGGCCGAGACGGCCGCACGCCACCGCCGGTCCAACCCAGGTCAGATCCTGCGCCCGGAGTCGTTGACGGCCGAACTAAAGTACGAGGTACTGTACAGAATCGACGCCTCAACCTCACCGACGCCCCGGCCGGCGAGATATACTTGATACGCGCATGCAGGGCGGCACCTGGTCACACACAGCCCGTGTCGTCGGCGTCGAATAGCCGTGACGGAAGCGGTCGACAGCCGTGGCCTCGCCCCACACAACCTCGTCCAACCGTCCAACGTCGCCTCTCAGAGTCCCAGCCAGGTTCCCAATCCCGGCCCGCGTCCGCGTCCACGTCCAGCCTCCAGCTTCCAGGCCCTCTCGCCCGTTGACCGAGTGTGCGAGTGTCTGAGCGCGTCTTGCGCCCAGTCCGATACTGACCCAGTGGCCCGTCGCATCGCCCGTCGCCAAGCGCCTATCGCCCGTCTCGCGCGCCATCCGTGGCCTGCCACCACGCCCTCAACGCCCTATTACCGCCCTGTCGCTACCGCTGCCGCCGCCGTCCAAGCGCAGCGCTGCCGCCATGTACTCCGCCGGCTATGGCTTTGCCAACAATGGTGCTCCTTCCTTCAACAACGCCGCCCCACAGCAGCCTGGAGCCCAGCCGACCGGCCAGCAGGTCATGTACAACCAGCAGCAACAGTTTGCCGGCATGGCTCCCCAGGGGGCCTTTGCTCCTGGCGCGAACCCTCAGATGATGCCTGGCGGCCCTGCCGGAATGATGCCAAACGCCGCCATGCCGCACATGGCGGCCAATGGTCAGAGTGAGTCGCCCTTGCGTGCCCTGGTTCGATCTATCCCGGCGCGCCTCAACGCGCCAAGGTCTGCGCCATGCTATTACATCGATTCTGCTATGCGGTTGCTTGATCGGCAGCCGTTACCTTTCTTACGAGAGAAGGTCCGGCGCGGAGCGCGTCATGGAACAGACGCGCGACCGCTCTGCGCCAAACACCATTGCCTTGTCCCTTTGCGAATATGACGGCTGACTCTTTGACGACAGTGGCAGGATACCAGCAACAATTCCCTGGCTCGCCTTATGGGCAAGTCGTTCCCTCATCGGCCGGTCCACAGGGCTTCGCTCCCAACTACATGATGGCCGCTGGCATGCAAGGCTTCCCGATGAACCAAGCGGGAATGCAACAGCAACCTCAGATGATGCAACGTATGCCTCAGCAGTCGCAACAACAACCGCAACAGCTTCCAAACCCAGCGGCGATGGGCCAAGTCGGAACCCCTCAACGACCTCCGAGCGCCGCCCAGGGCACGCCTAACAACGCCGTACCTTCGCAACCGGGACAGTTCTCGACGCCGCAACCCCCTTCACAAGGCCAAACTCCGACGAACCAACAGCCACCGTCTGCCGGGATATCGACGCCGCAAACCCCGACCTTCTCCGCGAACCAGGGAGTAGTCACGAATGGGGGCTCAGCTGTGGTAACCCCTCTGAGCCCAGGGACGGAGTCACGAGACAAGGAGCGCTTTGCCCTTCTACTGGACATCAACCACGAATTGCTGTACGAGTCGATTCAGATCCAGGCCACACAACAAGAGTTGAAAAAGGAACATGCGGATGCCAACGGAGGAGACAAGAAACCAACAGAGGAAGAAACCTTGTTTCAACAAGACTATCTCCAGTACGTCCACTCCAACGCAAGCTACAGAGCGACACTAACAGCCGTGTAGATGCATGAGGCGGTTACAGGCCAATCTTTCATACATGGCAGCCTTGGCAGATAGGAAGCCCGAGGTCAAGGTGCCTCCTTGCCCAGCGTATCTCAGCGCCCCTCCACTCAATCTCTCACTCAAGCTACGGGCTATGGCTGCCCCCCCCGATGCCCCGGAGAGCAAGGTCGACCCGGTGGCTGACAGAGAGGACCGTGATAAGAGCATCAAGGATTTGTACATGAGGTTACAGGCTGTGTTCCCTGGATTCGACCCCAAGAAAGAACCGCTCTACCGTATGCCACCACAGACAGGCGGACCTCAAGGCCAGAAACCTGGCAACCCGGGGATGAGCCAGGCTAGCCCGACGGGCCATAGGACACCTCAAATGACAAACATGCCAGCGCCGCAGATGCACCACCCTGGCATGCCCTCATAGTGGATCTGGACCTTCATCTTTATCTTCATGTCAAGGGTTGAGACCGTGTGTATATATGATGGGGCGGTTCATAGACGCCGCGATTCCGGGAGCTGGATGAGTGGGTCATAACGGGCATTACGGGCATTACGGGTGTCTGGGAGGTGTTGGTCTGCATGAGCCATGTTTCGAAAAGAGAGCATCTGTGTCAGCCAAGCCCCAGTACTGGAATCTAGGACTAGTGCACCAATTCCAGAGAAGTGGATGGAGTCTGAGGGGCGAGGCCAGGGGGACGTGCTGTTTGGATACAAGAGAATGGGAAAAGGGCGCTGCAGATGGTTACTATTCACTATCGTGGACTGGTTGAGCGGCGTTTACGGGAGCGACATTTGGTAGTAGTCATGACTAAACAAAACCGAACAAAACAAACAATTGCCATGTTGTAATACCTCGGTACATACTCTGTTGGATGTACATTGTACTGTGTGTAGGGCTCTGTGTGTCTGTATGCAATGTAGGTGACTCGCAACGCAGGGACACGCGGGGAGACGCAGACGGCTAGCTCGCGTGACATGGCAGTATAATTCCCTCGGATGCCACTCCGCCTCTGCACCGAGTGCATGCACCTTTCTCCGTCTTGGTCTTGATGCGGTACTATATTTCGGATGATGCTTGCTGAGAGCGTCAATGGAGGAGCGGTTATTGGCCGACACCTTCTGGTTGCCCACAAGAGTGGAAAAAAAACTCTGAAAAAAAAACTTCCGTAACGCGCAGCGTTGGATGGGGAGCGGGTTTTTAGTTGGTACGACTACTGTAGACTACCGGTAGTTGGCCAACGGGTGAGGGAAATGGATCCATTCCTTGGGTCGAGGATTGGGGCCAGTGGCAGGATTCACACGATTTGTCGATGGCTTGCCTGGATTGCGATGTACCACAGCCAGACCTGTCACCTCAGGCCATGCCGAATGAAGAATGAGGCCTGTGATTTGGACGGGAATCTGACATACAGATGTGGCTTGCCAAAGGGTTCACTCGTGCGTGTGTGCGTGAGTATGTCCGCCCGTGGTTGTACTAATACGGTCGTGTTAGAGAGACACCACAGGCAGATGCCAGGGCTTGCATATCTCACAGCTCTCACCATGACACTGAATCCTGCTGTCAGCTCTGCCTCTCTGGTGTCAGCTCTGCCTTTCTGCCGTCGAGTTTTTGCACGCAGTTGCTCCCACTCTTACCATCCCAGCCCCCTCACGCTCGTCTGCGCTTATGCCTCTGGCGAACATCTCCCGCCACCGCCATGACATCCCTTGGACCCTTTCGGTCTCGGTGCCCAAGACATATCCATGACCCCGGCCCTGGCCCTGACCGCCGATCTCGTCGCCCACCCACCCCTCCAGCACACAAGCACACAGAGTCAGCAGCCCGGCCACCCTTCGGCGTACGACGTCGCACCGTCGTCGGCATGCATGTACGCATGTACCTACCGACCTCGTACCGCTGCCAGATCATGGAAGCCGTGGAGAGGTTCGACCGGGGCGCTGGCGGGGCGCGTTAGTGCCCTGCAAGAGTCCCCTGAACCGCTCGGATTGGACGCACCCGGGCGAGCCTCCCAGCCATTGGCCAATGGCGGCGCCCTGTAGCCAGTACTAATAGCGGCGGGGAGCACCCTAGTAGGTACCTGTACGCGGTAGGCTGAGAAAAAAAAAAAGTCGAGGGCCGCATCCGTCGACGTCTTAATCTTCTTCCATCTCTTCCTCCTCCAAACCCCCGCCTTCCTCCCAAACATCCCTTCTCCTCAATTGCTGTTGAGGCAGATGATTGCGAGGTAGCTTCTGACCAGACCAGGGGAGCTCTGAGAACGAGTTTTCTTGCCGGCCGTCGCTCGCAAACCTCTGCCCTCTTCGCAACGCCAACACCTACCCTTGTCTTCTGCCCCGCGTTGCGTCTTCGGACCTCGTGCCCGTGTGCAGAAGCTTCACCCTCCTCCCTTCACAATGTCCGCCGTCACTATGGCGCCGGCGTCGGCTCGCATCGTGGGCTCCGACGACGATGGCCTCGTTTGCCTTGAGCTCCAGGATGGCTCCACCTACCAAGGCTACAGCTTTGGTGCCCAGAAGAGCATTGCTGGAGAGCTGGTCTTCCAGACGGGTATGGTGGGGTATCCCGAGTCCGTCACTGACCCTTCGTACCGCGGCCAGATCCTCGTCATTACCTTCCCTCTGGTTGGCAACTATGGCGTCCCCTCGCGCGAGACCATTGACGAGCTCCTCGGCGATCTTCCCGCTCATTTCGAGTCGTCCCAGATCCACATTGCTGGCCTGGTCACGGC